TTGTTTTCTTAGAATTATTTTACAAACAAATGAATCGAACGAAAAAGCTATAAACAAATATCATCTTTCAGAATATTTTATTGAAACTAAAACAATAATATTTAACTTCTAAAGAGCCATTTCTATTCGACATCGATGACATATATTTGTCATTGTTTTCATTGATGAAATCTGTCAAATTGAATAAGTCTATATAAACGAAAAAAAATACACAGACGAAGTTAAATATAGAAGGTTTGTCGGCGAAGTTAAATGATTTACCTGATGAGATTCTTCTTATTTTGAAGAAATTGAACAATACTGAAGTGCTCTACTCATTCATAGGTGTTAATAAACGATTTAATAAACTTGTACATGATTCAATTTTTACGAATCATTTAACAATGACAAGATGTTCTTCTAATGGTTCATTTAATCGATTAGATAATCAAATGGTTGGATGTTGAATCCTCGTTTAGGGAAGATGTTCTTCTTTGTACAAGTTATCCCAATTTATGTGGACTTGGTTTACATAATATCGAGAAGGCCATTGCATTATGTATCTTTACTGGTGAGAGATTTTTCTTTGATTTTTTTTTTCTCTTTCAATCATTAATATTTCAAAAATATAGATAAATCAATAGGATTATTTATTTGTAAAACGATTCTTCATACAATTGTGTCATAGGACATTTTTTTTTCTATATGAATAGTAAAAAACAAAAGTTTCATTGGAAATCAATGTGTTCAGATAGAGAAAACTAATATTTACTTTAGAACGACAGAGAAGACTAAAATAGATGTGACAATCTGATCCATATATTTAAAATATTTCATCATTGATTTTATATTTATATTTAGACGAAATTTTTTTAATCCGCATATTTCAGGATAAAATTTCATCATTTGTTATTGATGTTGTTCAAAATAAAAATAAGAATATAACAGACAATAGCAAAGTAAATATATTTGCCTGCATTTTAACCTTATTCTCCAAGTTAAAGTATTTTCATTATAGGCCAACTTTTTTGTATTAACCATTATTTCAAATTCCTTCAACTATTTCCTATTCAACTCTGTTAGAGTTGTATATCAAATTGAAGAATTTTACTGATTGTCTTTATTTACCTGATGGTCGTTTCGTTTCACTTCAAAAGCTTTCTGTTGATATTTATCAAATATTACCTTCACAGATAATAATTGATAACAAAGTAATTTGTACAATTCAATATTTGATATATTCAAATAAATTGTTTTATTTTTTTTTGAAACAATTACCTAATCTAAAACTTTTTTCGTTCTATTCTGAACAAAATACAGATAAGTATAATGAATTGATTGTGTCACTTCTACATCAAATGATCAATCTAGAAGAACTCGATTTACATCTTGTTGTGTATTGTGAGAAAAGATTTATTGATGGTTATGATTTGAAATACAATATTATTAATAATTTATTACAATTAAATAAATTTGTATTTAACATACGATCATGTCTGCCTCTAAATGATCAAGTTTATTTATCATCAAATGAAGATTGTCAACTTTCATTCAATGGTTTTAAAAATAAGAAAATTATTTCATGTATTGATTATTTCCCAGATCGTAAAAAAGGTTAATGTCATATTTATTCATATCATATCAAGCAAAATATTATAAATATATTACAAATAATTTCTCATACGGATTATTTAAGCATGTTTGTGAAGTCTCATTATCCCTTTGAACATGAATTCTTTGTGAAAATTGCTAAATCTTTCCCATTCATGGAACAATTAACTGTAAACAATAATAAGCCACAGAAGAACAAATTTGATGAACAATCAAAAGATGATAATCGACATTTATCAGTTATTCAATATCCTTATCTTAGTGTAGTTGATTTGTTTCATGCTCATGATGATTATGTGAAGCAATTTCTATTGGATATCAAAATGTGTTTAACAACAAAGCTCAACCTTCAAGTCTACTTTTCAATTTTGGATAGAGTAACACACAATTTTACAAGAGATACAACACGAACCAATTGTGCCAAATTACTTGGTATACATGTACCTCGTCATATATCGATTTCAAAGCAGT